TGGAGAATTGATTAAGGAATAAATCCATTGTATTTAAAAGTCGATAGAATTAAGGAGCTTTGAATTCAAAGAAAAAGAAAAATTCAGAAACAATGAAAAAAATCTAGATTTAGCAAATTGCACTGGGATTTCTGAGATCTCAGTATGTTACAGCTAGGGTTAAAACTCTTCTAGTGTTAACAAATAAATGTGGCGAATGTATATCATGCAGCGATCTTAATTTGCATCATAATAGAGATTTTTTTAATCACTGTACAAACAACTATTTCACCACTGAGACACAGAAATATTATCGGGCACATACCGCGTGTTCGAGATTCTGTCAGCGACTCCTCAGCCGGAATAATGGCTCGGTAATTAATAGTTACCACAAGGATTAGGGAACATTCTTAAGATGCATTCTGAGGAAAACATTTGGGAAAAATAGTCGAGTTAATATACACAAGTGTAATCGGAGTTACGCGAGAGGAGGAACGGATTTTCTTGATAGGACTATTGATACAATAAAGATTTACAAAAAAATGAACAAACACGCGTGGTAGCCCAAGGGTTAAGAGGCCCGAATTCTCTCTTATTCAAACAGCCGTCGTAACACGGGCCTATTAACGATATACAATATACGCTGATCACTTATTTGTTACGTTCTACTTGCATGTTAATTAGCCAGTGTAATACGCTTTAATGTGGCGCAAACGAGGATCGTTTTTTGGAGTGTATCGTGATGCCACTATCCCCACCGACTCTGATTGAGATTATTGATTGTTTGACTTATTAAACGAGTAAATAGGGTGTGAGGGATTCAACACTTCGACCACTTTAATCTCTTATCGCTCACTTTTTTTGCTTAATACGTGGTACGTTTATTATACCACGGGCTGGTAAAGTGAAATCGTGGAACTGGCTGCGAATAATAGTAGTATAACGCTCCTGAAATGATAGACATTCGTTTGCTGTAGCATCGGTCTCATTACATTAAATCTGCATCGGACATTCTCGGTTTCAAGTCGATAGAGTCGAGTCTGTCGTTAATCACTTGTCTTTGGTGAGATTTCAAACAGGACAAAAATAAAAAAACGCGTCTAAAAGGTGTCTGAAGGATATTTGCAATGTTACCTGGCACCTTTCGGACGTTTTTTTAGATTTTTCTTGCATGTTATTTAATTTGTAAAAAAATTATATAACGTTCACCTTCTAAAGAAAAGCAACTACTTGGCTAATTAAGCAAGAATAAAATTTCTGTTGAAAAATGTGGAACGCGTTCAAAAAACAAAGTTGCCCGAAATGTCGACTTTGCCAGTTTTTGGCACCAACTGTTCTCAATTTTACAGTTCGACGAAGCTGATGGCACGGCTTTATGCCTGTGCCAAAATCACTAGCAATATCGCCGATGTGCCAAATATCTCCATATGGTCGCGACGATTTATATTTTTGATCGAGGTGACAAATGAAAGAATATTCTGACCTGTTTTCCGACGTCACGACTGGCGATGACTTCTATCACTTAATTCATGCTCGAACCAGCCGACTTAATTTTTAAGAGATTTTATTATATATTAAATTATATATAATTTATTAAATTTTACACATTCAATCGTTTTGTGTTGGAAAAAAATTTTATATTTTTCACGAATTTTAGAAGAAAATTTATTGATTCTGTAATTAAAGTATAATTGAAAGAAAAATTTTCGCCAGTAGAAACGCTTTCCTAAATGTCTAATGACTAAGTATGAAAAATGATCAAAATCCATACCGAGACTATGGCTATTCTACTGGTAAAAAAATAGACGGCTGACAATGAGTATGAGTTCCAATAGCTCACGTATATTATGAAAACGAATGAAAACGAAAAACACTTCCTGTGCGAAAAATATCTCGTCTTCGTAAGACTGTGTTTAAACTGTAATTTAATAATGCATGTTAAGTGCATGTTTTAAAAAAGTGCATTATATTCTAGACTACTATACTTTGCTATTTGATGAAAATTATACAAAAATTTTCGAAAAGTTGAGAAATTATAATACTAGCTTTTTCGCATCTTAATAATATTATAACAATATTTTTTCTAAACATTTTGCGATAGTAGTCTAGATCTAGAGATGTGTATTTGCGATTACAAATGTCTTCTTAAGAAAATTAAAAAACAAGTAATCACAAATACATATATTGCAATTACTGACTACAGGTCTAAGAAGAAACTGTTTATCAAGAAATTATTTAAATATTTCACATGTCTGCATTTTTTTATTTGGTGGGGAATTAAAAGTACACACATGTTATATTTAACGTATAACATATTAATAAATATATCGTAATGATCTAGCGGAAATTTTGCAATGCTTCGATATCTTTTAATAGCATCTGTAGTCAGTGTTTGTCAACGACCAATGCTACTCACGTCATGTGAACTTGTGCAATCGTTATTTACCGAGCGTACATTTTTGAAATAAAGTTATTATTACTATTGAATATAGTATTTAATAAATGTATTATTATTGATTTATTATCGGTCTAATAATTAAAATTGAGTTGGCATTGATCTTTGATTAGCTTGAAAAAGAATACGAACGATACGTTTCTTAAGTCAAAGGGCTAAGTGAGTCATACATACCGAAAGGCCTGAAAGGATGTCGGCTCCATAGATAGCTACGTTTAATTGGACTGAGGTAACTGTCCCTCAGAAAGAACGGTGTGCGATATTGAGCGTAACTCGGAATATAGGGCGCGTAGCTTGGGTACCACCATGGGTCCCTAGTAAACGCACTGATGGGTGCCATCGGTGATGGTTCCAGGAGATCGAAGTACGGCTTCCTGCGCAGCAAGACCGACGGACGTGGCAAAAAGAAATCGTCGTCCACGAGATTACCTGCGCGTGAGACGAATTTAATTGGAATCAATTGCAGACTGCTTCGCGAATGGTACTGAGCTCTTGCCGAGGTAGATAGATATTGTTTATAAATATATACTAGTTATGTAAGGCTATACACGCGGCTGTAAAGCAGCCTTGGTTTTCTCTTGTGAGCTAGAACGAAATATTATTAGCAGTGATTGTTTAGCAAATGCTATCTTTACGATCTATCTAAAGCTGCTAGAATGAGATAATATTTTTATTTGTAAGATGAAATTTAAGAAAGAAAAATAAATTTCTTCTTTATTAAAATTTAAATGATTTGAATCTTTAGGCAGGATTTTAAAAAAATTCAATAAAATCTTGAGAAATAAAGTTTGTCTTGTTTTTATAAATATATATTGTACGATTGCGAAAAATAGAAACCAATTTATTATCATTACTTTCTCATAGTTTGAAAAGAATAAAACAAGAATAAGTAAATTAAGAAAAAAGTTAGTACTAAATTATCATATTTTTATGGCAATTTAATTTAATTTTTTTATTTATTAAAATCATATTATTTTATTCTTTTTATGACAAAAAAATATAGAAGGAAATAATAATTAAATATATTATAATATAAATATTTTTAATTAAAATATAAAAGTAAATTTTATTTTTTAAATAAATATAATTTAATAATTTCTTTTAAGTAAAGCGATTAAGCTATTATACTGATATAGTTTTTTATACCATTAACGTAAAATAGTATTGTTTATCATTAGTAATGTATATAATTAGTCAAATTGCGATACATTTATCGAATTAAAATTCAAATAATATTTTTATAAAATTTCTAAAACGTTCTTCGAGTACAATTAATCATTATTGATATAAATTTTAAACTAATATAAATTTTAAACATTAATTATTTTGTACTGCTATAATTTTTTCTTGTATTTGTGTGTTACAAAGAACCGTTGAATTAAGTAATATTTTTGCGAATTGTGTAAGTACAATGAAAGGAGGAAAAGGCTTAGAAGGCATCATAGCAATGACGAAACAAAATTTTAGGATAAGTTATTTATTTTTTATATATTATTTGCTATTTTAATTGATTATTTCTTTATTTTTCAATTTTATATTCAGATTTAAATAAAAATTAGAATAAAGAGATTCGTTATTTGTAAAATTAGATTTTTCTACTTAATTAAGAAAAGAGATTTTATAAATATTATATATACTTATTTCGTATATTTGTTCATAAAGTACGAATATAAAATTTAATGAGTAATACAAAATAATTATTTTTAAAATATAAAAATATTTTGCTAATTTGAACGTTGCTATAATTTTTTTTAATATTTATATGTTTTAGATTAATATCGCAATTACAGCTTCACTATTGCGCATCATGTCGGTGAGTCAAAAATTAACTTTTAGATTAAAGTAGTGGATCAGTGAAAATTATATTAGTTATATGAAAGATATAATAAGTTAGGAACATAAGAATATTATACAAATAAATTTAATGTCTCACAGATCCATTGCTTTGGATGGGCTAAAAAATTAAGATAAATTATTTATTTCTTGCAATATAGATAATAATTAGGTTCTTATTCATCAAAAATTTAAACTTAAAAAAAAGATCCTTTTTGGAAATTATATATAATAATTATCTTACGTGTATAATGAATGATTTGAATGTTGTTCAAATATCTTGAATGAACAGCAAAGGAAGATTAAGAAAGAAAAGTTGCAGAAATTTATTGAAGGGAAAAGTTAAATAACTAATGCCTACAGCACGCGATTCGGAAACGTATAAAGTATCACGCGATCGTATTATATTATGAATTATAACAATCGTTTCGGAAGTGCCGTACAAAGTATCGCGCGATCGTAATTTTTTGCATCTTCGCAAATATTGTTTATGCGACAAACCTTGATCTAAGAGTAGGAGACCTAGGAGGCATCGCGTGACAACTAGTTATTTATTTTTTTATATATTATTTGTTATTTTAATTATCTTTATTTCTTTATTTTTTTTTTCAATGTTCAAAATTGGATTAACATAAACATTACAATAAGATTACAGACTTTTCCTTGTAAAATTAAAAAATCTTAGAGATGGTTGCTTTTGCCTACAAATCGATTGCCTATAGTATCGTTTGCCTACATTACTTTTGCCGATAGTTCGTTTGCACACAAAAATTATTGCCTACAGCTTTATTGGCTACATGCACTTTTGCGCACAAATAAAACTTTTAGAAGCAGAGTTACTTTGCTTACATATGTATTATTGCCTACAGCTCGATTGCCTACATATATTATTACCTATAGCTTGATTGCCTACAAGCACTTTTGTGCACAAATATAAAATTAAAGTTAAGTAGAAAATAATTTCAATATATTTTTAAGAAATCTGTCATGTGAACAGTGGGATGTCAGCGTAGACAGTATCCGCTTGGAATATTTTTCCAAAAAAATCTAACTCTAACCAACCCATTTTTTGGTGTGAGATGGTCTTCATTTCGCGTAGAAGGTTGTGAGTTGTTGGCTGTAATACATGTAGGCAAAAGTAACTCTGCTTCTAAAAGTTTTATTTGTGCGCAAAAGTGCATGTAGGCAATGTAGCTGTAGGCAATAATACTTGTAGGCAATAATACATGTAGGCAAAAGTAACTCCGTTTCTAACATTTTTATTTGTGTGCAAAAGTGCATGTAGGCAATCGAATTGTAGGCAATAATTTTTGTGTGCAAACGAACTGTCGGTAAAAACGATGTAGGCAAATGATACTGTAGGCAATTGATTTGTAGGCAAACGGGATCCCCAAAATCTTACACTAAAGAGAGAGATTTTATAAAAATTATATAATTATATTAAATATTTACTTAAAGTATGAATATAAAATTTAACGAACAAAATAATTATTTTTTTTAATATTAGTTTTTTTGAGCGCTGTTTATAATTTTGTCGTATATTTAGATATTATATTATAGATCAACGTCGCAGTTATAACTCCGCTGCTGCGCAACACACATTGGTAAGTCAAATTAATTTTTAAATTGAAGTAATGAATCCATATATGAAAACTATGTTAAATATATATAAGATGTGAATGTAGTAAGTTAAGAATCATACACTAAGAGAAAAATGTACTTAATTTTAAGAACTAATTGTTTGAAATTAATAATATGACATTTATTCACGTAAAATAAGTATTTGCTAAACAAGAATATAATAGTTAAATCAAATTAATTCTTGTATCAAATATTTGTTTAGATTTAATAAATATATTAAAGTGGCATTTATTAAAATTTAGTACACTTTTCTTTCAGTGATGTAACAAAATCCATAGACTTATATTACATCTATATTAAGAATATAAGAATAAATACTATTTATTCTTATACACTACACTGATTTTTTTATCTTAATTTTTTATAGGCCCTTTATTTATATTTGTTATTATTCAATGCGTCAATTTCATATGATATGTCAGCTATAATAGATCAAAATGCTGTACAAATGATATAGTATTTAGTATAATATTAAGAAAGAATGTGTACAATTTGGAAATTAAATATTATATTTGCTCTTTATACTCACCGTGAATATCGAACAATCGTTTCGTACTGAGAGGTGGGCTTAAATGACGAGCCAAAAGTGGTGATTTGCTCGGGTAAAGTCTGTCGATGTCCGCCAAGCGGTTCAGGTGATCATTCCAAGCCTTCTCAGCGTCGAAGGATTTCGCTGTATCGTGTAATTTTGCCATTTGTGAAAATGAAAGCAAGAATCAGCTGATTTACAACTTCGTTCGACCGTTTTTTTCGACGAACACGTTGCGAACACTTTTCGTGATTGATTCGAATATTCAAATTTTTTACAATTTTAAAATAATTTTTACTGTATATAAATTATGTAAATATTTTTGCTAAAACATTTAAAGTTGTGTTAGATCAAAATTTATTTAACGCATTCGCTACGTTTCGTCCGTGATAGGAAATATATCGATTAATTTATATAACGTCGAGAATCCGCGAAAACCTCATACTATTTTGCTTTTAATATACAAATATTTTGTGTAGATATTTGATAGATATTGGAATATTCCGAGTAGTTTACAAAGAATGTATCGGATTTCTCGTCGTTAAATTTACTTTAATAAGACTGGCAAGCGCACAGAGGAATAATGCAATTAATTTCATGAACTTTTAAGAATTTTAATAATTTTAAGAATTTATTAAAATATAGAACTAAATAAAATCATTTTAAAACTCTCATTATTTTGAATATGTATAATATTTAGAAATTTTTTATATGATTGGAAATGGAACTGAAATATTCAAACATTTAAATACGAAGCGCCTTATAGTTCCGAGTGTTAAGATGTTGAACTAACATTCATTTAAATTAAATTAAATTAATTTTTTCAGAACTAAATTGAGAGCCGATAAATTATCATTGTGTGAATCCGATAATTTATCGGCTCTCAATTTAGTTCTGAAAAAATTAATTTAATTTAATTTAAATGAATGTTAGTTCAACATCTTAACACTCGGAACTGTAAGGCGCTTCGTATATAAATTTTTTATATATTATATGATTGAATATTACTGATTACTAAAAATCTACAGTATAATATAATAACGCTTATAAATAAATCTTAAAGAAGTTTTCTATATCATGCATTTTAAAGTGCAAAGATAGAACCTTAAATTTGCATTCAATTTTTTTTCTTTGACATTTTGTCCCTAAACTACGTTAAATTGAAAATTGATATTCTTTGCAATATTTTTTTTATTTTGAAGCATTATGGTTTGATGAAACATCACACACACATCGGACAAAATTTAATAGAAGAGTATTTTAAAGTAGCTTTCTGGGCTTTCAAATACTTTTTAGAAAAAATTAGTATGATTAGATGATTTTTCGCAAAGATGTCGAATTTTTTTGTTGTGTAAAATTTTATTGTTTAAACATTTTCTTTGTCTTTTATGATTTTTAACTTTGAAACTAAAAAAGGCTAACTAAAAAAAGACAAAAAAGAAAAAATTATTCTAATGCGCTTAATTCATATAAATGTTTTCAAAATTTCTTAAAAACTTTTTCCGATTGTTAATTTTAAAATTAGTTTTTATACAATAAAATTTTATACAATAAAAAATTTAATATCTTTGCGAAAAATTATTGTATCAATTTTTTTCAAAAGCATTTTAAAGCTTAAAAAATCTACTTTGAAATATTTTCTATTACATTTTATCCGAATAATGTTTCATCAAACTGCAGTGCTTCGAAGATGAAAATATTGTAAAAAATCAATTTTCAATTTAACGTAATTTAGGAACAAAATGTTATAGAAAAAAATTTAAATACAGACTTAGAGCTCCATCTTTGCATTTTAAAATACATGATCGAAAATTTCTCTACCATTCTTTTCACAGAAATATTTAACTTTTCATGAAATACGAAAAGACAAAAATATTAATGTCAAAATGTTTATGGGCGTTACTGTACGTACGATAAAATATTTATATAAGTGTGTCAATATGTATAAGTTCCTTTTTGCGCTGCCACGAAAAATATATCGAAGAAAAACAGACACGCGGATTTAATTTAAAATTGTCTCTCTGAACAACATACATATTTTTTTCTATTTGAAAAGGATCAATAATTAATTTAATATGATTAGTATAATACTTTTCGATGAGAAAATTAACAAAGTCTCATATTCAATTCGCTAATGTGCGATCGATTGTTCTGATAGAATCTGAGATAGCTTTTAAAATTTATTTTAGAGTCTAATAGAGATATCGGTTTAAATTCATTTGCATATGGCCAAAATTTTTGCCAAATTGATCTCTGTTTTTACACTTCATTTTCTCTTCTTTTAGTGTTTTAGCGAGTAGCGTTTTAACTTCTAATTATTTTTGCAATATTCGTTTTTTTTGCAATAATAATAATTTTATATTAAATACATACACGTACATACATCATGCACGAAACACAGAAGGTATTATTAATTATAATGAGAGAACTATTAAATAAAAATAGGGGAATTATTTGACATTTACCTTTATATGAATATATTGTTCTGAAAAAGTACTAAAAATTACAAATTGCACTTGTAACGCATTTCTTGTTATTTCTGCGTTTAATTAGCAAATGACGACTTTTTAAAATATAATGAGCAAGTAATTAGAAACTTTGACTTGTAATGTACTAATTTATAGAGAAACTGTTTCAAACTTTCGTTTAAAGTTATTATTCGGTTCACTTAGGAAAATGCGGGAAATTAAAACGTTAGGGTTTTGTTCCTGTTTTTCATATCGTTGTAAGCCGTGCGCGTCTATTGTAATTTCTTCTTTCTATCATAGAAAATTTATTATCGAAAGCTGGCGTAAACTCGTGTTACACACGAGGCTGTATGTAAAAAAATCAGTTGTCACAAAAAATAGCATGACGTCACGTAAAATGAAAAAAAATATACTAACCTTGTAGGAAAAAAGCTGCTTCAAAAAGTCGGTGACGCAAAAAAGCTGCGGCGGTTTGTATCGTCAAAAAATGGCTTGGTTATCAAAATTCGTAATGGAAAAGAAATAGAGAGACGATGATCTGTACTGCTAAAAAATGCGATTTATATGCCTAATTATAGTTATGATGGCTACACTATAGTTATGATGGTTTATATACCAAACTTTCTTTTTGCGTAATTATTAATTGTGTATTCAGCACTACCATTTAAGCTAATAGAAGCTTGGCACTAGCAGTAATTATCGATATCGATAAGGTTATCAATTTTCGACTGCTTTTACTTTGTAACGTAACACCTCTCGTATTACTAAATATTAATCTAATGATTTTGCACGTGTTATTAAATTTATAATCTAAATTAAATATTTGCTGATTATTTACTATAGTACAATCATTCTTTAATAAAACGATGATTGATATATCAATAATTTCCAATTCTCTATTCTAAATTTTCTAATTTGTAGCATTACGATTATATTATATGAGGTATTCTACGTGAAAAGGATCTACTTAAAAATAATCTGTTTGGGATAAAATAATGGATTCAAAATAATCATGAAAACATGTAAGTGAACATATTGTATAATATTGAAGATAAAAGAGTAAGTATTATATTTGCATCAAAGATATTGGAGATAGTCGTTTAAAAAAAATTTCTTTTTGTTGTAATTTGTAATTAAAATTACAAAATACATACAATTTATACATACATGTGTGTGTGTTTATATATAAATTTTTTATAATTTTTTCCATACTTTTAGATAAAAAAGTTAATTTTAGTGAGATAAAATAAATAGTATGGAAAAAAATCAATTTTAATTTTAAGTAAGTAAATAAATAAAAAATTATATTCACTTTTAAAAATCTGAAAAAAATCTTAAAAATACTCTATGTAAGAATACAATATCATAAAGGAAATTTTGAGATCGCAGTGGGATTCACTTTTTTTTTTAAAACAAAATTCGTTTACGAATGAATCCCACTGCGATTCCAAAATTTCCTTTATATTATCGTACATACATTAGAGCATTTTTGAGAATTTTTTCAGATCTTTAAAACTGGGACATAATTTTTTATTTATTTATTTAAATTTAAAAAATTGATTTTTTTTATACTATTTATTTTTTAACTTTAAATTTACTTTAACTTTTTCCTCACTAAAAATTTACTTTTTATCTGAAAGTACGGGAAAAATCAAAGAAACTTTATATATATAAACATTTTATGTATTTTGTAATCTTAGTTACAAATGATAATTAAAAGAAAATTTCTTTAAATGACTACCTCCATATTTTGAGTGCAAGGCATAATACTTTTTTTTATCTTTAATATTATACAGTATGTTCACTTATATGTTTTCATGACCATTTTAAAGATCCCAAGCAGTCTATCTTTAGCTAAACCCTTTTCATGTAGAATGCCTCATATATAAGTTTTTTCCCGTTATTAATGCTTCAATGACTGACAATCCATCAACTTTCTGCCATTTGTCATAAGTCAGTTAATCGATCACACTGTACTGAAAAAAATGCATGTAATTTTACGTGGAAATTAATATATGCTTATAACAGAAAATTACTAAAATATGATTGGAAATTTACTTAAATTGTAAATTTTCAATCATATTTAAGTAATTTTCCGTCATAAACATGTAATTTCCATGTAAAATTACATAAATTTTTTTCAGTGTGCCTAAACTTTCTAAGCTTGAATAAATTACATAAAGTCCTTCGTTAAAGATCGGTACGTACTAAAATCCAGGTGTGTAATCCGACGTAAACTATGTACAGTATTCGTGGCGATCCTCTATGAATATTGCGACGATCCATATACGTCCATGTAATCATCATAGATTAGCAGTCGTTAATTATGCAATACCAGTCGTAAAAAAATTATGTTTGGCGGAGGTGGATCACTTAAAAGCTAGAAAAAGGGTACTAAGGAGATTGGGGATCGAAAATTAATGAAAGAAAAATACATGCCATATCCTGAAAAAGATAGAAATTTCTGGATCTGGTTGTAATTAATTGCACGTTAATTTGTTCATTGTTAGTAAATACGCGTGCATGTATTATTGCCGATTAGAGCATGTATTAAAAAGAACTTTCGATTTTTCTTTGCATCGCCTTGGATCTCCTATAATCTTTATATTAGATCATAAAAGGATCTGTTCTTTATGTTTATTAAAGTATAAAAAATATAAGTATGTAAAATTAAAGTAAGTATTCAAAGACAGTTTCTGTAAATTATATTGATGTAAGTGTACTTTTGTGTAATGTACTTGTACTATTTTTTATTTCATTTATATTACGTATATATGCATTGATAAAAAGAAGTGAAAAAATTTCTGTGAGAAAACAGGCGACAAGTTGTATCTGAAAAATCGGAAGCACAAATTAGAACGCGAAAGCGTCGAGAGAAAATTTCCAGCTTTTTCAAGTTTTGGCGGCCATGTTATATCTCAGTTTATTTCTTTATCCAAATTTTTTTGAAAATGAGAATTTTTCCGCACGTCGCTTTTTCGCTAGCTCTGCTCAAATACGCACGATTTACGCATATGTACGTGTTATTCCTTTTTAGAGCTACCTTACGTCCATCACACACTCTGTGTCAATCGCAATTCCACTTTGTTTTTATATAATTATTTACTAATTTGTTATATGATTGCGTACAATATGAATGCTGCTTAAAGTAGTGTGTATGACAATCAAGAAAGCTTTTCCACCGCTTTATCCCATTTTCTATTCGCTGTTTTACATCTCCTTTTTGGCTCATTCGCAATTAAGCTGCGACCTGCACCTCAGCTGCAAGAGTTAAGGATTCCTGAATAGTGCATGTGCGCATCCTGCTCCTCTGATTATTCTCTCATATTGCAAGTTACATCAAGAATCGAAAAATAGACTACAAAATGTGTTACAAAAAAATTGTATAAATAAAACGAATATTTTTTTACTTTTTTCAGCTATCATTTTTATAAAAAATATAAAGTGAATGCAATAGATATTTTATATTTAAAATAAATTGTTTTCGTATAATTTGAAAAATTGTTGATATATTGTAATTATTAATATATATATAATAACATTATATATGCTATATTAATAATTATATTAAAATGTATTTATAATGATAAATGAATTTTTTCTTATATATTTATTTTACAAATTTTGTAATATTATTTAACATTATTAGCCTGGAAAAAAGGTAAAAATAAAATGTATAAAAGTAAAATATTTTGCAGAAAAAATTCTTTTGATAAAAAATTTAGTCGTGGTATCTTAAATTTATTTATAAATTTTTAAAAATATAACAATTTTCTTTACTCTTGTAAAACATAAAACGTAAAAATACTCTCGAATTTTTTATTTTGATTTTCAATCGTAATTATGTGTTTCAAAATGACTTCATATTTTTTCTTTCTGTGATGAATTTATATTTGTGAAAAGTCGCGATGTTCTCTCGACGACCGTTTTAATATCGAAAGAAAGAAAGAGGAAGGAAATGGATATGCTCAGGATTGCGGTATGAAATTGTATTGTATTATTAAAAAGCGGTTAATTTCTGTAAGTAATTATTTGTAAGTAATTGTACTTTACAGTGTGTAATTTTAAGATGATCTAATAATTTAATTTAAAACTTTAATAATTCAAAACCGTATTATCCTGTACAGTATTTACATCATGAAAAATTCATAAAAATACTCTAAATGTGTGACACGATATGCATATAAATATTTAACTTATCTTAATGTTTAAATTATTATGCAAATATAAATGTATAAATTATAATTAATGATTAGATTGAAATTGTATAAAAATATAATTATCTCAATCAAAGTAAAATTATTAAAAGGTTTTATTACGCGCGCGCGTTAACGAATTTGTCTCTTTATAACATTTCACATTACAATAATTATATTAATTCATTTGATAATTAAATATCACATTTAATAAAATCATATAAAAAAAGTATAAAGATTATTGCCTCATATTAAAAAAAAAAAAAAAAGAAAGCATTACAATAGCAAAATGCGAATATTGCAAAAACCACGCGGAATAATTTTATTATAGGCATTAACAAGTTGAAAAATAATTATTGGGTGGGTGAAAGAGTGCATATGTATAGTGCATATGTATAGTGTAATATTCGTAAATGTAAAGGGTTCGCGTATAAGCAAGGTTATTTGGATCGTGCATGACATTAGTTTATCGTGTTTCGTAAGCAATGACGTCGCGCTCGGGAGGTGAGCGCGATTCGCTCTTTGGTCTCCCACTTTCGAGAGATCTGTTGGCATCTAAGGTCGCTCAAATCGATGATGCGATTCAGTATGAGCCACTTGTTGGGTCTAGCGCCTGGAAATCAGAAATCAGAATCTCTGCTCAGGGCATGCGAGACCGCGCGAATCGTCAATGATACCCCATTCTGATGACTTTGAATCGTTACTGGACATACGACGAACTAGAAAATGCTTTCTCTCTAGAGACGAGTCACAGGGCGACACCTTGGGCACGAGACGCATGATCCACGTGTGATCCATGATCGATGGAACGGTGAACGATGAACGATGATCCGTGATGCCTGAATGCTCGATTCAAGTTAAGCATGGTATCGATAATGGTCAATCCGTTGATATAATTATTTATTAAAATTAGTAGTTAATTTGATTATTAGAAAAATGTGTGATGATTATTAGAAGAGAAAATTTTATACATTTATTATTATAACGAAAAAACTTTATTTAAAAAAGATTATTTTATCATGCCGAAAATTTAGAAAAATCTATTTCTTTATAGAGCTGATCGTTTTTGATGTTTTTAAAATTTTCAAATAACAGATTATATTTACGCTTTATAAGTGATTTAAAATTTATTGAATTAGAATATTAAAAAGCTGACATGATAATGAAAGGCGATGTTAATTTAATGTAGAGAAATTTGAGGCAATTGTAAAACTTGAATATCAAATAATTTGAATATCAAATATTGAAATCACAGTGTGTGTATGATTTTAATTAAATATTTTACTGAAGTTATTACAATCTACCCCAATTTTTTCTAATTGTGTTTATGATAGAGCATTTTATTACAAGTTTATGTCATGTTGATCTGATTGTGTGTTTGATCTCGGTGAATTGATTAGGATCGAAAGACAGGGATATAATTCTAAAGTGGAGCTTCGCGAGGCAGAGAAGTCTTCAGATATTGAAACATATTGTACATATATTTATACGTACGTAAACGTGTTCTCATATAGAGTGATATAAGTATAATAACTTAGATACAAAGAGAGACGCGTAAAATAATTAATTAGTATTACACATGGCGTAATGGTATGAAGGTAGACACGATATTATTATTACGATTTACAGTGAGACTAAACAAACGGTCTGATTTACACGTACGTCCAAAAAAGTGCATACACATTTTACACATCTGAGTAGTGACACGTGGCGTAAAATCGGGGTTTAGAGGAGAGCATGAGGACGAGGTTGGCGTTGGCGGGATGGTAAATCCATTTTTGATAGTTTCTTAATTGATTTTTCTTTTTTCTTCACAGTTAAATGTGCAGGCAAGGTGGAGGGTAAGAATGTGATGTACGGTACCTCTCCGGGGAGGCGTTTCTGGCTTCTGAGAAAGGCCCGGAGAGCCGCGTGCGTACGTAAGATGCGACGATGTCTTTCTCTCGAGAATGATTGTTCATTCCGCTTGTTTTTTTTTCGTCCCCTTTAAAACCGCCGGCCAGAAGCCAAAAGCACCGGGTTATATTATACATCGAGAACTTAATCTAGGAAGGTCCATGAGAACAAGTGTAGCTATTTGTTAACACATTTCTCGGTACGATGCGCCTTGATGATTTTCATAATCCATTCTCTGTGTTCATACCTTTTCTCCTTTGTTACTCCCGTTCTTCGATTCTGTTCTATTCTATTCGTTCTGTTTTTCGCGCTCCTTGTTTCTCATTTTTTCTCATTTTTTTCTCATTCTCTCTCTCTCTCTCTCTCTCTCTCTCTCACACTCACTCACTCATTCTCTCTCTCTCTCTCTCTCTCTCTCTCTCTCTTACTCTCCCTTTCTCGCTTTCGTTCGACATCGAGGTATTATAAGAGTTTTCGTTTCGTTTCGCGCTTTCGATTCTTTCTCTAAGACGCCGTTCACTCTCTTTTGGACTCTTTTGGTCATAGTTCTTTAGTACGTACCGGGGGTGAAGCGTTCTACGGGTTTGTACTGATGGGGATACAGCTGCCTTGGCGAGTAACCGTAGATCTCACGGTGCACGGGTAGATACCTGGAAAAGAGGGATGAAAACGTAATCGTGTTAATATTTCACAGAATCGGAATTATAAAGATACAGTCGTAAATATTTAATTCGCAATACCTGACGTTTAACAGATGTAATTTAATTATAATATCTAATATTAATAGATATTTTTTCAAATTTCTTAATTCTTTATTTAAATAAAGCATTATACCAGGTAGATTAGACACATGTCATTATTATGTTATTATTATCATTAGAAAGTAGGAGTAAAATTTTGCGAAGTAGGCCGGCATAGATAAATTTAGATTTTTGTATTTTTGGATGCCTGCCAAGAATCGATATGTAAGACACATTAAGAATACATTAAGAACACATGACACATACAAAACTTAAGGTAGCAAGATGTAAGCAGTAAGGAAATCAACACGTTGGATTGGTTATTGCTTACGTTATAGCCTTACTTTACTGTGATTGGTTTAATTCGTTTACTGCTTACGTTCTTTTGTGCGTCATAGCTCTTACTCTAGAAAAACTTCTGCTCTGATTGATTAGTTTTTGCGGTACGTTTTAAAATTACGGTTATTGAATGTGTGTGCGGTGATTCTAATTCACGTACACACCTGTATCCGGGAACATTAATACGGTCGGCTGCGTGAATCGGATTTTCGAAGATTGACTTTCCAAACGGCCACGAGGTGGAATGCAGCTCAGGAAAATCCGAGCGGAAAATGCCGCGAGGCCTGTGAGTGTGCTCAGGAGCTCTGATGTCGTCAGTGCCTGTTTCCATTTTGTATCATTAAAAGATAAATCCTTCCGATGATTTTATTTATACGATAAACTATGTGTGCGATTAAAATTAAATAAAACATACATAATGGTCGGCATGAACAGCCTACAACTTAAATTGATTAAATGCTGCGTGCAAAATTGATATACGACAAAAATACAAGAAATTTGTAGAGAGGTTTATATCTTGCTGTATATGCAAAAAATCCTATATAATTAATATAAATATGTATACAATACATAATCCATAGTTTTGTTGGAAATTTCAAGAGAAATATCAGATATTTATGCAGATGTGAAGCAAGGGTCCTTACCTTTCAGGGCCCGTACGTAACTCTGCCAAAATTTCGCCTTCCTTGTGATGGGCTCATTGCGTCCGATCATATCGAGATTGCTTCTGAATCGCGCATCCATTTTGCCACTCTATTGAACTGCTAACCACACTCGTTCGCTGTAATGAGGAAAAAATAAATAGAGTTAAGTTGCATGTAATCTTTATCAGAAACATAGATTTATGAATCGCGAGGTTACAAACGAATACAAAATTTTGTTAAATTATTTATAATAATTTTTAATTCTTCGAATCTTTGTAGGAACTGCTTTTCTTCGTGTGAGAATGTAAAGATTGTCGTACATTTGAAGATCTCCGGAAACAGAAGGAGATTAAGAAGGATATAGTTGCAATATATTCGAATTATTTCAGTTTTTATAAAACTTTAAAAAAATTATTAAACAATTGATGAATAAATTTTTTAACTTGAAATTTTAATAAAAATAACTTAATTAGGATAATATTGTGAAGAGGATAGTATTTAATCAAACTTAAAAATTTCTTCCTTTTAATCTTTCTTTTAGTCTTTCTTCTAATCTCTTACACAGATCTGGGCATATATGTGAAATACTTTTATATTTAAAAAATAGTATTCGTAAGATAATTGTATTTTGTATTTTGTATTTCAAATACTAAGATTGCAAATCAATCATATTATTATTATTTAGATAATAAAATTGAATAACTTGACCGAACTCTCACTAATTAAAATAACAATAATACCAATTTGAGGCTAATACGAGTCAACACAGGAGACGAGATGCGTAATCTTAATGTGGAATGATGGCTTAATTCCAATATCTCTGTGATATCTTCTTTTTATTCACAATGAACATTTCATCTCTCTTTTGAGTCTTCCTCAGTATACAATCGCTTTCTTCATCAAATATCACGCAAATATAATTCGGTAATCCGTCAAGGCAAGACACTCTCCAGGTTTCCAAGTCTGAAATGGACGCTTAACGGACTCACAAATGACTCATGTTGAGAAGCTTCGGATACAATAAATATATCAGATAAATTATTAAAACCGAATATAATTATAGTCTTCATGATCCGGAGTGTCGAACGTGTCTGATTGATGTCTCAGACACTCCGGACTATGAAGACTATAATTGTATTCGGTTTTAATAATTCATCAATAACATTTGATGAAGAAAGCGATTGTACGCTGAGAAAGACTTAAAAGACAGTCGAAACGTTCGAAATTGTGAATAAAGAAGACATCACAAAGATATTGGAGTTAAGTCATCATTCCACATTAAGATTATGCACCTCGTTAACTCTGTTCTGCGTTGACTCTTATTAGCCTTAAATTGATATTATTGTGGTCTTATTATTATTTAAATTACAAAATACAAAAAACTTTCAGCCTTTCAATTTTAAATACAAAATATGTAGTTTACTTTTAAGTACTGCGCTAAAATACAAAATATAAAATACATTTCTATTGCAAATACTATGTTTCAAATAAAAGTATTTCAAATACATGCTCAGCTGTGCTCTCTCATATTTGCAATTAGTAATTTAGTAAATTAAAAGAAATTAGAAAACAATTATTAAATGTGATAAACCAGGAAAAACTGTAATAAACAAAGTTCCAAAAATGTTTCATATTGAGAAAGTTTTGACTATTTAATTTGTGAATAGGATATTAAATTGCGAAGAATGTTAAATTACAAAGTCTTTTAAATACAATCACGGAAAGTTCCTCTATGAGGAAATAAACGCTACACAAAATTCTTATGGCCTAAGGTGATTGCATAAGCCATCTTTAAATTTAACGGCCTGCGTAGGTGCGGCTGTGCTTTTTCAACCTTGCCTCAGTAAACTATACTCCATTTCCGCAATCCATTATCATGACGCAGTTATTCCCTTTATTTATTCGTGATACAATTTCGGTAGATGAATTCATAGATCAACCATAGTTTAATTAATTCTCCTTTTTTCTATTTGGCTCTCTTTCTCTCTTTTTCTCTCTTTCTTTTTTTCTTTCTCTTAATGTCACTTCTTTTGATTTGTTAATTTCACGAACCATTACTGACATTTTTTTACGAAAAGTGTATACTTTATGAATTTAATAAATATTTAAAAAACAAAATCATAAATATACTATATTATTATTATATTTAATCGTTACAAATATTTGATGATATTGGGATATGAGAAAAGTTAATATGAAGCTTCAAATCGATTTTTATTTTTTATATAACGTATTTTCTATATAATTTTTTTAGATATTTTTACGCAACAATTATTACAATACTATTTCGTCATCTTTAAATTAAATTGACAAAATAATAAATTGATATTGTCAAATTCAGATTTGTAATTTGAAATTTGTCACGTAGCCGCGTCCCGCTTTTGATCGCGTGAGAAAACAAGATTGGTTTCTCGCGTCGGCCAATAGTAGCCTGTGACACAAAACGGGAGCGTCGTTTTTCTTTTTGTTGACGCAATGGATGCCGCTAATTTTAGCGTCACGCGTACTTTATAGTCGCCCTGGATAGTCCGAGCGGTTTCTCAGATATTCCTGTTTCATTCTCGGCGGGAATGACTGAAGGTCGTGAAGATGAAACGAAAATGGGGTTACTTGTCACGTTGGTCTTATTTAAAAAATATATCTAGCATATTTGTATTAAATGTATATTTGTGTAGCATAATTTGTGTGTATGTGTACATTACATTTCCAATGTGAATATCGGATCTACATTGATATAGTTTTCTTCGTAAAATAATATCAAAATTATAATATTTTAATATGTTAATTTCAAGATTTATATCTATTAAAAATAAGAAGCATCTAATTGTTCCATATTTTCTAAAAGAAATGTATCTAATATATGTATTGTGTATATGTAATAGTAATTTAATCAGAACAAAATTTCTAGAAACAAATGAGTCTCATATACTGAAAAAAAAGTCTGGTCATAACTACTAAATGTTGAGTGAAATATTTTAATTAAATGTTCAGGTAATATAACTAAACATAATTTTACTTTTATAAATATTTAGTAAATGTTACCAAATGGTATTACCAATAATACTTACCGATAATACTTGCTAAATATTTGATTTCCTTTAATTCAACATTTAATAGCTATAATCAAACTTTTTTCAGTGTAACATACAATAGTTAGTTGGAAAAATTAAATTTCAATTAATTGTTTCAAGCTTTCAAAGCGTGTTAGGCTGCTGCATTGAATGCTTTAATTCAGTCTTCGAACATTTAGAA